GCCGTTAATCACGCATTAACATATATGAAAACGATTATCAATACCTCGAATATCAAACAATTTCCAGTTGATTTTAGCAAAAATACCTTGGAATGTAAACAATACAAGTCTACAATAAACAGGGTAAAATTACCGAATAATACAAAATACTCAGAAAGATGTCCAGGCAACAAAGCTCAGCGTTACTAACACGACGTCGCGACAAAATCCTTTCTTTCGAAACAAAGCCGCGCGCGGGCACTCGTCGTCGGTAGCGCTCCTTCATGTTGTTTGCCAGTGGGGAATGATAAGAGCCACCAACAGAAGGATATGTGAAAGCAGCTCAACGGAAGTACTAGGATGTAAACACACTATGATTTCAATATTGTTACCATCGACTCTTTCAGCCGCTAAGCTATTCTATTCCCAACGAATGGTCTGTGTTTTTAGGAATTGATAAGCACCAGACACTGGCGAAGTGCTCATTAAATAAGAGAATTATGATAAATGAGCCGAATTTCGAAAAATGGGAATTGGGCCATGTGTTATAGGTCAGCACAGAAATCCTGTCATTGATCAGGACCACAGACTGAACCATGCGCGCAGTAGTGCGCGTCAGCCAAACTGGTCCAAATATACCTATCGAAATTTTCATTTTCTCAGCTTTAGAAGCGCTTCAGATCGGCGCATTTCCAACCATTCCTTTTGATTTTTAGCCACTTCAGCCAGATAGTCCGCATGTTCCTAAAAGGTTTTCACATTAAGAAGTGCTAGTTGGAACGTCTTCACCCACATAGAATCATTACAAATGACCCTAAATGAGACACATATGGTCTGGTTCGCTGCGCTGCAAGGGCGTGTCAGGCAGAGTAAGTGTGGCGCGGTGTCAGACCTGTTCTCTACCAATTGACGGGACGAATACGCGACGTCAGTTGATGGAAAACGATTAATACGAACGATACGATACTGTCTTGTCGCTTGCTCGCTTCAAAAACTGGTGGAAAAGGATGTGCCTTCCCTCATAACCCGAGCCTCTACGTCGCCATGCCGACAATGCAATTTAACAGATTTCTTACCTTGCCATATGTGGGCTCGGACAGTTTCTGTATTCGTTCCGTGAGCCGGTTTATATCCTCCGTCAATGATTGCATTTTACCAGTGTTGAACAGCGCTTCCACAGGGGTTTCAGCAGCTTCGATCAGCTAAAACGCCATCCAAAAATTAGTTAGAAGACAATGCAAACAAGATGAGTTCAAGTAGTTTTATGAGGCTTGTAAAAGCTTACTGCATGGCTAGCTCGTAGTATTCCGTCAAATTCTCGATGTCGCTCATTTTTCTCGAACCTGAAAAATCGCTTATAAATGGACCAGCTTCTGTCAACCACCACCCTACCGTGTATATCACTTCTTGAAATCACGGTCTCGCAGCTGCTGCAACTTGCGCCACGAATTCGGTCACCCTCCCCTTCCAAGCCCCTTATCGAATCTTATCAGGTGTTGTCACCTTCTGCCACCCTCCAATCATGTCCACTCCCCCTATACCACTTCTTAAAATCAAGGTCCCACGGTCGCTGCAACCTGCGCTAAGAATTTGGTGACTCTCAGCGTCTAGGACCCCTTATCGGATCTTATCAGATGTTATCAGCTTCTGTCAGCCATCAAAGATGTTCCCGTCCTACTGTGCATATCACTTCTTGAAATCACGGTCCGCAATCACGGAAATCAGCTGCTGCGATACAACTCGGTCACCCTCCCCTTCTAGGACCCCTTATCGAATCTTATCAGGTGTTATCACCTCCTGTCACCCACCAAAAGTGTTCCCGTCCTGCCACTTCTTGGAACTGTCATCCTATCTTTTCTGCGACGCTCGCTATGAATTTCGTGACAGACAGACGGACACACACACACACACACACACACTGACAGACATACTTAGTGAATTATATATAGTGGGATACCCTGGCGGAGTTCGGCTTTGGGGGGGGGGTGGGGGGGTATTGCACTTTCGCTACTTTCCATCGTCGCGCTCTTGCTTTACAAGCATTCATGGGTAATCTTTGCAAGAGCTGGCAAGTGGTCTCGATAAACTTTGACTACTGTCATTATGGCTTCGCAAGATACCACAGAACTCTGCTTGGTGGTTTGACACGACAATAGGAAGTAGCGAATGTGCAAAATCCCCCCCCCTAAAGCCGACTGTGCGGATATTCTGAACATTCTCGATCGAAATTCGTACCTCTCAATGAATCGCTCAATTTCCGTCCGAACAACTGGAGTGTGATCGAAGAGATGTTGTCCGACCAACTGTGTGTCACGCATAACTGTTGGAATGGACATCCTGGCACGGTCAACTCTTTACCAAAGCAGTGCTTAAGGAAAATTGATTTGCATTCAAGGACTACCATATTCGAAAGGAACTGATACAGTGTTTAGGTAGAGTGGGGTTAGGGTAAAAGATGAGGACGAGAATCGATTGCCTCGTTCCGTTAACCAGGGAGCTGAATGACACGATGGAAGACCTCTTTAAAAGCTTTGAGCCTTCCAATTAAAGCTTTAGATAGAGGCCGAATGAGGTTATTCTGAGGAACTATTGAGAGACTGGATTTATATTGGGGTTCCTCATTAGGGCAATGCATCGTGCGGATATGAGGCACAATCCGCGATAAGTAACTGGGCGGAGACAGATGTCCACTGAGATTTTCTAATCTGTGAGCTCTTCCCTTCCAGGGGCAAAGGATTGCGGTGGGTATGCGACGAATCCATATGTGGCGATGGGAGTCTGGAAAAGGACATACCCTATCGCAACTGAAACGCCACGAAAAAGAGCAAATCCCTTGCTCTCACAGAATCTCGTGTGTATACGGTGGTGCAACTCTGACGCTGCTGCGTGCGACCTGAGCGGTGCAACCTCCTTGGCTCACGGTAGCATCGCCGGACTCCCATAGCCAAGCTGTGCCTTCAGGGAACCAAAAATATAGTTTATTTACTTTCACTTTCATTTTTCACTTTAGTTGCAGCCGTCAAATCGGTTCAGCTCCAGTTCAGGAAGTGATGAGAGAATCTCTGGTGTTTTCTCCTGCCTTCCGCCTCTTGTATACATGCGCTACATTCCTACCCTGAACCGACTGTCTAGCCAAGTGGGTGGGCAGTCCCCTCCACCACTATAGACTGCACATGCACGAATGTTTCCGGGAAAGAACTTCAGTGGAAACGATTCGGGCGCCAACGCAGGTGATAGTGGGATTCATGCCGGTGCGACTAAACGTGTTCATCTGCTCCTCTCACCAAGATGATCCTTCAATCCCTCCATCTGGGCTGCTCCAAAGGGACACAGAAGCACGACCTCTCTTCCCCTCAAGGTTTCCTCCTCTGGTACGATCCCCTCCCCATCTCACACCCGCCTGAATCTTTTTCAGTTCTCCGCAAAAGCGCCGAAGAAGGAAGGGGAGGTCCCCACCCATCGACAACTAATTTGAAATATCCGATGGCACACTGTACGCTATATCACGAAGTGGAGAGGGCGTGGTTGCGTACACCACATGAGCATGGTGTGGGACCCCTTTTTCGTGGAATATATCCATCAGAGACAACTGTCATTCTGTCTTGTACAGCACAAAAACATCGTAACAGTTCTCCCAAACTGACATCCCTCCAGTACCCCAGCTGCCTCCGCGTTTAAACGAAGTACACGGCCACGCCTACTGCGTCTCCGGGATATGGATTGTAGTTGTGTGGTAGTTCTGCGGCGCCAGCACAACTAAATAACTGAAGAGGGTGGTGTAGATAGCGCACATGAAACGCCAGAACTCAAAAAAGTCAACAAGGGCGAACGACCCCTCTCCCCCCCCCCCCACTGCTGGGATACATGTATGAGCCCTGCTTGCCACATAGCCCACTAACCCTATTAATAACGATAGGAGGGTTTTATTCTGAAATGTGTATAACAAACGAAAAAATTACACATGGGATACGAAGATATCCTTTTTAAGACACCTATTTCTCTATCAGTTCTTCATACCTCACTCTTAACCTCAATTCTTGGCTTACGTAGATGAAGGAAGGGGAAGGCGGCGCTGCTCGGCTTGGGAGGGAGCGGGGGGGGGGGAAGGAGGAGCATTTTGTTGGTTACCATCGACCATTGCCGATAGGACTTGTACAAACCTGTTAATTATTGTTAAGCGACACAATAGGAGGAGTTTCGTGAACACAATGAATGGGGGGGGGGGCGTTACTGCCAACGTCATTGGTGGAAGAAGGGCTGACAGAGAGTGCGATTCGCCACACCATACTCAATCCTTCTACCAATGACGCTGGCAGTAACCGCCTGCCCCCAGCCATTGTCAAAGGCAAAATACCCCTCCCAAGCTGAACAACGCCGAAAAGGCAAAGGTTACCATCAACGGTTCCGAAAAATTTCTAGGACAGGGGTGGGAGCAATATATGAATGGGTAAAACCAAGTACTTTCCAAAAAAAATAACGGATCGATATACCGTAAGAAAAGACACACGCACACCAAAAAAATCGTCATCATTACACAACAGTTTATATGAAGAAGGTAGAGATAAACACTTTAGAACACGCGATTCATAGAGAAAGAATAGTAAATGTGGGTGTGAGTGAATTGAATTGAACTCTTCCTCTTCCACAATATTGCTCTAATTGCAAGGGAAGAACAATAACAAGGCAATTTTGCTCACTTTAGATGAATCAATTGTACTGATCGATGAATGAATGAAAGGACAGGAGGTGGCCGGGTCTCCTTTTTTTGGGCTTACTGGGCGTCACTCGATGAGGACGACGTGAGAGGGGGTGCTGCTGACGTCAATTCCACACGGCCACACGTGCACCGGCGATTAGGTTTGACCCAAAAGACTAGTGAAAAACCACTAGAGATTGATAGATGTGTGTATGTGCGCGTTGAGTGTGCCTGTCATCTCACGCAAGGCTATTTTGTCACCATTTTTGAGGACCTAAAAGGGGGTTTCAAAGAGACGAGGGAAATAGGGACGGGGGAAACACTGACACGACTTGAAGAGGAGGACGAAAAACGGCGTTATACCCATTAGTCAGTCTGACGAACAAACAAGCAAACAAACAAAAGCGTGCACGTCCAATTTCCACGGACGAAAGAAGGTATGATGCTGTCGCTGCATATGTCTGTAGGATCGATTTCATTGAGCTGTACTTCTAATCACATTTGAACGCTTGAAGAATGAATGATAGGATATATTCTCTATCTGTTGGTTGCACCATGAGCTTAGTAGTTGAATGTATAGAATATGATGAAGAAGAGAAACGAATGAAATGCAACATCTTAATTGAGATGGAATCCTTTTTCGTTGACCGCCGTCAGAAGACGTTCCCGTAATATATCAGCTGACGAATACTCGGGCAGTTTGAGGTAGTGCACGCAAGTATTCACCTGAAACAAAATCAGCTTATTACACAAGAAAGCTCAGCTGTAGGTAAGTCGTATCGCTAGACGAGACTCGAACAGGGCGCATCGTTGTTGGGGAATCCCCTGCAGGGGTCGTGATTGGGCTGGGAAAAATTTATTTTGATAGTTGATTTTTCTCGCTTCACGGACGTTGTAAAAAAGGGGGGTCGTATTTACGTTTTGGCCTTTCTAGGAGTGGTGGTTGACTTTTCGTGATTTTCCTGTTTCATGGTAACTATATACCGCCCCGCCCCCCCCCCCCCCCCCCCCGTGGCCCTCTTTCTCCCCACTCGACAGCAAAGTTTTTGCGGAAAAGTAGGGAACCTTTCGGGAGATTTTGGAAAAGAGGCAGAAAGTTGGGGAAAATGTGAAAATTGGTAGAAGGGGAGGGGCGGTCGTATTGTCTCGTGGTTTTCCTGGTTGCACATGTGCATATTTACCCTCCCCTCCGACGCCTCGATTCGATGGGAGAGAGGACCGAAAGGGGGGGGGGTCGTACAGGCTAGACTAAAAACCCCAATCAGTGATGTGCCCTGGACTCGAACCCACACCACATGATTTCCGACAACTGTTTCAGACAAACGCCGCGAGTTCGGGATCTCATGTAAGGTCAAGAGCTTCTGCCCCATATCAGCCTTCTTTCGAACGCGAAATTTTCAGAGCCCTTTCAGCCACGTCTACTTTGGCGTATTCTGCGGTGCTTTCCAATTTTCCCGTTTTTGGGCTGCTACGGATAGCCCCGGTTCAAACAGCCCTCCGCCCACTTCGTAAAAGTAGCTCCCTTTTTAAAAATGATGGCAAAATCGGCCAGGCTAGAACTTTGAGCTGACTAAAGAAATGCTATGAAACAAGGCACGTCTCACGACAATTGTGAGTAGTGGGGTTCAGAAAAGGATAGGAAGGTGCCAAGAAACACGAAACAAGTTCAACAAAACCTCAAAAATGGCCCTGGAAGCAAGATCCCTTTTTATACGACTACGATTTTTTTTACGAAGCAAACAGGCTACCCAAGATTGAAACCGCGAAAAAGGCACATTTCTAACAGTCGCAGACCCAAGTTACTCCGACGATTGGCCTTCCCGGGTCCAATATTCCAGATGTGTCCTGCCGTAGGAAAAAATTTTTTGCTAAATACTAATTTTCTCTTCTGTAGTCAAGAACCAGAAACATTTTATAAGCAAATACGCATTTGTCCTTCCTCCTCCAGCGGTAAAATACTCTCTCCGGCGATCTCCAGATAACGTGCCCGAGATGAGGTAGTCTAGACATGTTGCGATCACGCATTCAAGAGGCGGATTAAGTCACACCCCCTACAGCACTCTACAACACCCAATACTGATGTTTCCCCTTCCTTCAACACTCAGCTGAAACGGTCAGGCAGGACAATCCGTCCGTCAGGCCTATCTCTCGCCGCGCCGAGCGACGTGGCGTACTATGCCTTGCCACACTCATCTTCCACAAAATTCGATTATTTCAGTTCCAACTTGAAGAGCAAACTCACAGAAGGATAGCTGCCATCACCGCTCTCGACTTTACGGACAACCGTCAAACGAGGATGGAGATTAGCGAGCCCACCTGTAAAGCATTGGATTGAAGCACGACCAATATTCAAAGCTGAAAACGCCAAACGTACCGGGTGGTAAACTTGAGCATCCCGTTGCAAACTGGAGGAAATTTTTCCGTTCTTGTGGGTTAAGTTCCACCATGACGTCGACAAATCGTAGAAACCCGGGAGAATCTTTGGTGTAGCCCAGTTTCGGTTCTGTGTAGTTCAGCACGTCTTCCCTTGTCCATTCAGGACATTGCTCACCGGATAACAACCGCTGAAAAGGCACCCATCAAAATACATCCTACTCGATCTCTACTACCACTGAAGGCCTGCTACCTACCTGAACCTCTTCAGGGCTATATGAGCGAGAGCTCGTAGACCGAAAACGCGGTCAAAGCCATCACGGAATGCACGCATCTGAAGTACACAATTTACCCAAGTTAGGTAGAATCTACACCCAAAGCTTACTTGGTTGATTATGCCCGTATTCAAATAAAAGTCTGCACATTTCTGTACATAAAGCTCGACATTATCCATGGTCACATCCATATCAGCACCACCTTCGACTAATTCCATCTCTTCATAGTCGAACACCGACGACGGT